AAGAGTTGTCTGTTTAAGCTAAGGAGTTTCTGAGCTGTGGGAACAAAGAAAGAAACTCGCATAAACATAGATAAAGGCCCCAAGGACAGAAGATTTGGAACCATGGCGACAGAAGATAATGTGCATTTTATGACTCAGAGGAGTAGGCCCAGGCCCTGGCAACAGAAGATAATGGACATCACACTTCAGATAAGGTGGGTGACGAAGGATTTAGTCAGAGGGCTCCAGCTTCTAGGGGCTGGTGATGTCGAAATCGGGTAAGAGGTGACGAGGAAGACTACTGGCCTTCCTCCAGAAGACCCCTGAAGACCACCACCTGGAGGCAATGCACAGGTGCAAGAGTGACATGATTGTTTTAAAATTGCTGCTAAAGCTTTTTTGACTAACCACACCTTAATAGTAAATATGTATGTTGGTGTTGTGCAATCCTATAAGGCACCTACATTTAAGTGGTAAATATAAGGGGTCGGTGTGCATGCTTGTGGAGGAGCGATCCCCCGTGCACCCAGTGCTGCAATAAAGAATGCCTGCTTTCTAAAGCTCTGATTCTGAGTCGTAGAGAGTTTTTCTTCAACCGGCTTTTCAGTATCAACACCTTTGTTGGAAAATGCAGAGATCTGCATGTTGAGAAAGGTTAAAATTAGTATCTTTTTCACATTTAGGGAACGGTTGTAATTGCTGCAGGATCTTGCTGTGATCATGCCATCGCTCCATGACTCAAGCTTATTCAGTTAGGGACTTCCAACTCTGCTTTCCAGCACGCTCATTAGTTTCTGAAGCTCAGCTGAAACACTGTGTCCATGTTGTGCATCCCCATGCATTACACTGCCTTAATGGATTAAGATTCTATAAATCTGTTTTCTTAAGGAAAATAGGCTCAGTATTCATCAAGACACCACAAATAACAACCAGTCTCAAAACACTGTCAAACAGGCCTGTCTGGACCTCAGGAATAAAACAATATTCCTTCAGAAGATCCTACTGTCCTGTGTTGAGCTTTTCATCAGCATAGTGAGGCTCTGAGCACATTATTTCCATACCTACCTGAGCACATTATATCCATACTATTTTCCCATTTCTTGACCATCTCAAAATTTGACACCCTTGTAACTCCCTTTCTTTGCCCCTGCATAACCCTTCCCTAATCACTTTCCCCTGTTCTGCCTAGTTTTGCTGTATCTCTATCCACGTCCAGTATTTCTGGTATCATTACTTGGGCAGTCTTGGCCTTAGATGGTGTTACTGAGATACCGATACGGTTATTGGGCACTCTGACCCTGCAAATTTCTAATTCTGAAAGGACCCTCAAAATTACTCTCCAGTTATCTGTGTAGTTAAGTTGTTTTTCACCTAACTGCCCGTTAACCACCAGTGAAATCCAGCCATCCCTCCCAGCACTATCTGCAGCTTTTACCAGCTTCCCACACTGTTTTGCGTTATGTTCAGCAATTTCACATCACATTTTCCACACCCAGTTCAGTTAGCTCAGGCCAGGGCCTACTCAGCAGTGTACTGACTTGCCTGCAGCCCTAACAGACCCTGAGGTGCTTCTAGTGTAAGAGGTTACAACTTGTCTAGCTGACACAACTATCTGGTTTTAGGAATTCTGTCTCAATTAATTTCCATCAAAATGAGACAGATTAAATGTTGTGAATAGCAGTTCTTTGTTACTGTAATCCACTGGAACTGACATGGGGTAGGAGGTTCTTGAATAAGCAGTTTTGAGCAGAGTTGTTTGCAGCTGCTCACAATCTGAAATTGTTTACACTTAAAATTTCCCAGGTCTGTGGCCTGGGGATGGAGCCAGTGTGTTAACATTTTCCTAGCTGCTGCCAAGCAATGTCTGGATGAAAGGTTACATTCCAAATAATTGTTTATGCATAACAAATATTGGAGAACCATACAACCCCCCATTTCAATTCAATCTACACAGCAGAAACAGCCTGGGTTTTAAGATGTTTTCATAAACATATTTAACCAGCAGCACAGACAAAACATAGCCTCTTAGTATGTCCTGGTTATTATATTTTAGTTATTGGCCTACAGCCATTATACTTTACTGAAGCTGTTAAAATGTTACTAAAGACTTTCTCTCCTTTAATTCCAGAGCAGTTTCCATTTCCGAGCTGCTTACTCACCTCTTACTAGCACTGTAAGCTGCCCTTCCAGTAGCCTAGCCTCATACTGATAGGACTGTATTTGCCCATCCCTGCTGTCAGAGACTCTTGAGTCTGCTTTTTCACTTCAGGGGCTCCCTAAGAGCTCAGGACTCACTCTGCAGTGACTGCTGCGCACTTCCACTGCAGCCGATGTGTGTTCCCCACCAACCTGGAATGAGATCTGAGGAACAGAGAAGCCTCCCTCAAACATCTGTGAGACCTCTCTTCTGCTTCTAACTGAAGTTGTAGAAGTCTGGGTTGTTGATCTAAGGCTGCCTATCTTACAGTGAACCCCAATGTGATAAATATGACACCATACAATATATATAATGGCTGGCTGCTTTAGGAAAAACCTCACGAACCTTAAATCCTTCAGTTAAAAGAAATACCTTCCTCTCCCATGAGTAAGGTGGCAAAATATTCAGAAGTATGAAATGGCTGTGTATTAGCAGCTAGTTAGAGGACAGAAATCCCACTAATTCTCTGCTGAAAGTCAAAGAGAAAGTTCAGAATTGGTCCAGTCTAGTTTGGCTTGATGACAGGTGCCTCATCATCACACGCTGCATTTACCCAGCCATCAACCCAAGACAGAGAAGAGACCAAAGAAACACCTGAACCGTAGGGAATAGAGAAAATGGGATCATACAGGCTGCATGAGGGAGCTGGGGCTACTGCACCAGGGTAAAAGTTGCAAAGGAGTACAGGTATTATGAGAATATGGCACTGTTGTGCAGACTGGCTTAATATAAACAGCTGGACTGATTACAGGAGGCAAAGGACCTAAAATAGGAAGCAAAGCTTTGTATCTTCTCTCACTTGCAGAATAAAAAAAATTGAAAATTAGAAAATACAGTACCTGGTGATGTTAGAAGTAATATATACAGGGAAGGAATATATCTAGTGAATATAAACTGGACATGAGCATTTTCTCCTACTGAAATGGCTTATAATGAGAAATATGACCATATTTGAAAACTACACCGGGAGTTAAATAACTAACTCACATCTTTAACAGTTTATGTATATTTGAACACTCTGGCTGTTCAGAGCATGGCTTTAAGACTCCAATTTTGCAGTTTATTCTATGTAAATACAGAGAAGTATGCTTAGATGCACACAAAATTCAGAAGGGAAGAAGGCATACAATTCATTTAGCCCTCAAAAAGGGATGATAAACTTCCATTGACTTTTATAATGCATAATTGGCCAGATCAAGCACTCCTTAATTACTAGTGATATTAACAGCAGCCTAGGTCTTGTACTTCAGGCAGAAATCTCTGTGATTGATCTCACACAGGCACAACAACTGCTGCCTTCAAAATCATCAAGTATTCAGCTCCTAAATAGGTCAAAGTATTTCAAGTCCTCAAGTCCTCTAAAATTCCACCTCCCCACTAATACAAAAAAAAAAAAGCAGCCTTGCATTTTATTACTCGATTATAGTAAGTAACTTTTTCTCCTCTGCTCCTTGTGGCTAATAGGACGGTTCACCGCAAGTAACAGTTGCTCGCCAAATCAGAAAATCTTATGAAAATGCTAACATGGGGCTTGGTTAATACTTTCAAGACTCCATTTCTTCTACAGTTCAGTTATACTTTTCAATTTTGATGCAGAAGGCTGGAGGCATTTTCAGAACTGAGAAAAACTGAATATTGCTCTGCAGTTGGATGAACTTGAGACTGGAAATTCAGCAGTACAAAATACAATGTCATGCAGTTGGGAAATACAAATTTTTGTTGTAAAACTGGGAGCTCATAAATTACACAATGAATATTGCTTGAGGAAAAGTGAGGCATTAGAAAGAAAAGTATTAACTGCAGAAGACATTGCTGGGTTTTTACCTGGAACGCTATACATAATTGTGCTCATCCAGTGTCAAGAAAACATTAAAATCCAGAAGAGTCAAAAAACACAGTTGTCTGAAAGAATGGAGAACTTATCGCACCAGTAAAGGTTGTAGAGATTGTCTCAATCAGCCTAAGGTAGCAAAGCATGTCTGTAGTTTTCCATTTGTTAACATATCAGGAAGGTGACCGAGTAGCTTTGCTGTCTTAAATAGCTAATTAGACTTGATGACTCAGGTCACGCCTTTCAAACTCTTGTTTGTATGCCTAAATCAGACATATCTGCCATGAAAAATTATCAAGTCTTACGTCATTGCATTAATAAAAATGGTGAGACTTTAGATATCTAAACAATGAAAAGATTTGGGGAGTAGCATCGAAAGCAACCTCCCCTCCCCCAGGTTGTCAGTTTATAGTGTAATAAAAATAATTACAATTGTATACAAAACCAAGTAATTTATTTAGAAAATTTAGAACTATTCATTCATATATTCATAGAAGTATCAGTCAGAAAACTAAGCAATTTCTCATAAGAATTTCTGTGTAAACATATAAAGAAAACAAATTATTTGATTACAAATAATTGTACTGCAGATTTGTGAAATTTCTCTTGCAGAACAAATGCAGCTGGTGTGTAATGTTATTATCTTGTTCTCATTTTCACTATTTCCCTCCTATACAAAGATTCAAAGCTAAGTGGCTGTCATGCTTTTTTTTATAATCAACATGCTAGCAGGCAGAAAGGAGTGCAAGAGCCCCACTGAGAGAATCTGTCAGCTTTTCTTTGACCTACAAAGTTCTGTTTTGGTAGATGACAGGGATTTAATCCTTTATATAATTATTATACAGTATATAAACAAAACTGAATTTAGACTGAATTTCAAGTCTTGTATTTTTGATTCAGCTAAGTTTGTACTTAGTTTAAACCATCTCTTCATTTTACTATTTCCTTTTTTCTGTCACCGTTTATCTATTCCAGGTTTTTTTTATTATATAAAGTGTGGATTTTTTCCGAGTCATAAGTTAAGTTTAGAAAGTTTTAGTCTGCAAAAAGAACATCTAATTTAAAAGAGGATACTATACTAGGCTTCAAGGCCTTACAGCCTTTAAGACTGAAAAATCTACTCAATTTTAAAAGTGTATCTTATGTCAGTTAAAGCAAAAAATTCTATAATTGCTCCCTTTGTATTCTTTTGCTCTGAAATTCTTGGTATTATTTATAAGTAGTCCTGCTTTTAGAAAGTTTCATGTAAGAAAGGCCCTAGTTTTGCAAATATGTTGCTGTAAGCAATTGTCTGCTGAAATAGTAAATTAAATTACTGGAGTCTTACAATAATCAATCCTCTGTGTAGTAGCACATTGTAAATAAAACTTCACCTTTGTGGAATCTGGAGTATCTTCTGAAGTGAAAAATGCTGACATAAAAATACTAAAAATATAAAGTATCAACCTGATCGTAATGTTATGCTGTGTTGAAAATATTTTTTCAATGTATGAATGTGACTAAAAAGCAGAAACCCAATTAAAACTTTAACAATGTATCGTCAATTGTAAAATACAAGTTTACACAGAATTAAATACTTTCAGTTATCACACACCATAATGGTCATTCAGATAATCTAGTACTGCTGAGGTACTTGATAAAACATTAAAAACTTTTTTTTCTTGTTTTGAAGTTATCCGTTCCATCATGTACATTAAGTGGTGGTGAAAACACGTAAAAGGAGTTCCATGCTCAAGAGCAATGTCAACCCAGTCCCGGATGCACTTTAAAGGTGTCTCTTCATATCCTGCAAACATAGCTGGATTTGCTAAGAGTCCTCTAGCCACCATGACACCTTCAAATTGGAAATTAAAGCAGTAAGTTACATTACAGTTTAAATTTGACATTTAATATTCCTGTAGATTTTCTATAGCACCCCTTAGGACAACCACCCAAAGCTTACAAACAAGTAATGGGACAACAACAGGGATGAATATTATAGCTATACCAGAGAAACCCATTTAACAATCAAAACCTCAGAGTACCTACAACACTCATCAGTGTTTTTTGCTCAATGACGTCTCCTTCCAGAAATTTTGAAATGAACACAGGACACTTTCTTCTCTACTTTTTAAACTGCAATTCAATAGTATTTTGTTTTTATTTGCTACACATATACAAGCCTGTCTTTTTAACATAAAATTATGATGGAAAGATGCAAGAGTAGCAATATGCTAGATTTAGTAATTTTTAGTGCAACTCAGCTGATTCACTGACCTAGAATTTTCTTCCAGTAAGAGCACAATGTGTCAATTACATAAATCTCAGGGCTCTCGATCTGCAGTAAATCTTTCTGAACGAGCCAGTGTATTTGAAACTACAGTCCCAAATTGTCAGATAAACCCATACAAGTTCTATTTTAATTTTTCTGCGATTAAGGGATTCTGTTTTCTTGCACTGTCAACATATAATCTATCACACTTAAGTCTTCTTAAAAAATAGGATGATCAAATAAGACAAATTTTTTCATTACTGTGCATGACAGAAAACAACTGATGCGTTTATATTTTTGCTACTGAAGGTGGTCAGCTAGGCTACAAGAACATTCTTATCTGTTATGTATTTATTTCCTTCCTGCTTTGTATTTGGGGGGAGAGTCAGTGCAGCAGCATGACAGTTTGGTTCAGCTACTTTCTGTTGTTGCTATTAAACACCAATAGTGTCAAAAGAAACCTGCCACATGAACTTTTCCTTATGACACTAGCTACCGTTCTCTGTCCGGTTATTCTCTAGCTGTAAGATCCAAAGTGTGTAGATACAGATCACTTCTTCAAAACATATAATGAACTTCCATATTGTCTTGAAACCATAGACAGTTGCAGGAATCTATCGTGACTAAGTAACTGCAGGGCAATCCTTTACCCCCAAATTTTACCACTGAAGGGTAATACAAGGTAAATACATACAGATCTGAGAGTTCAATGCCTTACTGTCCTTGAAGCTAACCATCTTAACTGTTAATTATCTGGCTTAATATTTCCTTTTCCTGCCATATTCTTACTATAAGAAATCTGCTCCCATATGTAGGAAGTAGAGATTTCCAAGTGGAAGTTTATAGTTCTTTAAAAGATGATCAGCTCCATAAAGAGATGGAATGAATGTCTGAAGGTCCCCCTGAACTCCACTACTGAGTGATGAGAGAGCATAATTAAGGAAAGAGCTTTTGTAATTTGGCTCGGAAATAATTATTTGTGGCTTTGAATAACAGTGCTCTAGTGCTCTGATGATTACAAGCGATTCTGTTTATGAGTTTGCAAGGCATCTAAAATATCCTCGTTCATTTGTCTCCTCAGAGTGAAAAGCACTCAAATCATGTCCTACTTACAGCCAAAATAAATACTTTGAAATATGATTTGTAAGTTTACTTAGAAAATAGAGTATGTTTAATCTTACCATCTGCTCCTGTCAAGTGATGAACGTTTTCAGCATCTTTTAAAGTTTTAATGTCTCCATTAGCCACAATAGGTATAGACATGCTTTGTTTAATTGTTTTAATTGCATCATAATGTACAGGCTGGTGTCTTTCTTCTATGCTTCTCCCATGTACTGTAATCCATGAAACTCCAGTTGCTTCAGCTTTTTGACACAGGTCAACTGTTCTTTTTAAGTCTTCATGGATCCTAAAATTCCAAGGAATTAAACCATTAGATAGTAAGTTACCTGAACTGTCTAAAAAGTCCCCCTCCATAAGGGGGATTTGTATAAGTAACAGTATCAGTAAAAATATTACTGTTGGAAGATAAAGATTTTTTTAAAAATAAAGACATATGAGCTTAATTTTTTGAAACCACTATTAATTTAGCATTTCCCAATCATATCAAACCTCTGAAAAATACATGGTAAATTTTATAGGGATTGAGCAAGGGTGCCAAAAAGATTATAAAATAAACATAATTATTTTGCATATTTTGTGGAAAAAACTCTGATTTATAATAGTTCCCCTTTCCTGAATGATTGCAAACTGAGTTGAAACTTAGCTGACATAAGCAAAAGCCACATGGGATGTGTGGACAAATAGCGGATGAAGTGGTACAAAGCAATGCAAAGCAACAGTTTACAGGTTTAGCCAGTGATGAAGGGAAGCAGCTGTGGGGACCAGTTCCCAGTTTTGCTACCCTTCATTTTAGAGCCAACAGCAACTGTGGCTTTGGCCTCCAACAGCTCAGTAAATCCTTGTGGTGATACAGACTATGCATTACTTCTCTTTTATGAAACCCTAGACCTTTTAACTTCTACTTTCATGCCATGTGGATTGCAAGAAAACTCCAGCATCCAGTATGTTATCTGGGTAAGTGGTCAAAGGCTGTGCTGGTTCTACTATCTAAGTTTGGGATTACTTGCCCCAGATATTCTTTCACCATCTGAGGTCAAAAAATCTCAGCAGTCTTCACATGTAAGGAAATTATTATAAGGTATAATATTACTTTAACAGAATTACATGTATTATAGTGTAACTACTACACTAACATGTTTCTTTAAAAAAATTAAAAGGATTCTTCCATGTACCACAAACAGCACTTAAGTTAGACCTACCTTATTTTAATAGATACTGAAAATCTAGGGTTGTCAATCTGATTCCGTACATGTCTCACCATATCTTGAACTAGCTCTGGTTTATTTATTAAGCAAGCACCATAACCTTCTGACATCGCCCATCTTTCAAAGAAAAAGAACATTTGTGTTTTACATTTGAAAAATGCAGATCAATTTCAGTCAAATACATCAGTTTCTTTCCTTAAGGCCTTTAGGATGTGTGGTTGAGTAAACAGAGATAGTACTGGCTGTAGACTGATGATTTGTTTGCAGTTTGACACCAGCTTTTAGATCCTGATTCAGTCTCCACTGTGCTCTTAGAACTTTGGAGAAGTTACTAATCTCTTTCAGTTCAATTTTCTGTACACAAAATGGACTCAGAAGGAAGATAAATTAACATTTAATCAACAATGGTTTAGGTCATACATAAAATAAGTAGTTTGATGTTTCCCCTTCCATCAGGTCATGGATTTTTCTGAACAGAAAATGACTCTGGATTGAAAAGGAAGATTTTTGATTACCCCCCCC